ATTAATGTTTACTAAAGACGTCGGAAAATTCCTGCAAAAGGGTGCGCAATTTAGCACATTGTGAGTCGGACAGGTCAGGTGACTGAGCACACAGCGCCTCGAGCCAACCCTCGTCAATGTCTGAGGGCAGCCGCGACTGAGAATCGGTGGCCACCTGGCCAATGATTGGCATCTCCGCAGGTACCGGAACTGCATGTGCGAACACGGTTCCCTGCGAAACCACCGCCGTCCGTGTTCCGACATTTAGGACCGCGATAAACGGGTCCACATCCCCTTTAACAATAGTCTTGGCCGTCACCAAATCTGGCCCATTCACCCCGGCCCTAGACAAGCCCAGCATAATGCCCTGGTCTGAGACCCCTTTAGCGAATGGTCGACGCAACCGCAGGGGCACCAGCATCTGTGCCCCCGGGGGTACGCGCACCGTTCGAGCAACGAGCGCCTGTACCGTTGCACAGGCAGTATGCAAGGCAGGAATGGAAGGCAGGAACGTTATACGTCGGCCCGATGGAAGCTCGATGCATCGCTGGTCAATCAAAATTTTGATGGGAAATTTGGCCAAAAAGTCTGTCCCCAACAGGCACGGAATTGCCAGCGAGGAGGAGACGAACACCGGGCCAGATAGTTTAATGTCCCCGATAGAAATTTGCGCTCGAATTTGGCCGAAAATACCTAACGATCCCCCGTTCACAGCGTAAAACGGTATGTCGACAGGGAGCAACGGGCGACTCTGAACGGGCAGGATATTATAAATCAAATCCGAAATGATAGTCGCCGAAGCTCCCGTATCGACCAGTACCCGTACCTCCACCCCGTCAATATGCCCCGTGACAACGGACGACCCCGCCGACGCAGCTACAACCCGGTGAGCCAACTCGGACCATTGGCCCGGTTGGAGCGCCCTCCCCGACAAGCCGCGACCCGACGCACCAGCACCCAAACCCCGAGACTCGTGTGTCGGACCATGTGAGAGGGAAGTGGGTGTGCGTGCAGGCTGAACATGTGGGGTGCCACGACTTGCCCGAGGATGTTGCGAAGGCTTGTGAAGAGGACCGTCCGCAGCCCCAGGTCTCGCTCCGCGCTGTCGAGGAGCCCGGCATCCCGACGCCACGTGGCCCCGGAGGCCACAATTGTAGCACGCGACGAGCGCTCCCGAAGACTTGGGCTGCTCTCGGTGGCTCGGTACGTCCCGAGCCGGTCGCTTGCCAGATCGCCATCCCGCAGAACGGTCGGCAGCGAAGGCCCCCTCAGATTCGGAAGTGGTCGCCGCCACGGTGTGTCTCGCAGCTGCCTTGTTAGCCTTCCTCCGCTGGGAAATGAGATTGGCATGAATGTGCATTGCAGCCCGCAATGACGACATGTCCGCATCATCCTGTGCTAGGATGACGAAGTCCAAATCGTCGGCCAGCAGCAAAATTTTCTCGGCCACCATCGCATCGATCCCCTCTTCGTCCATACGCGGGAAGGCCTCCTTCGCCAATGACAGCAGGGCCGTGCGATACGCAAGTGGTGACTCCTTGTCGCCCTTCTGTCGCTCGTAGAAGAGTTGGCGACAATCGGAAGGCGGCCCATAAACCGTGGCCAGCAGCTGCAGCGCCGACTGAAGCGTGGAGCGTGCCGACTTGGGTGCAGCGGTGAGGGTGCCCAGGGCGTCGCCATCCAGCATCGCCGGGAGAGCACACAGCGCCTCATTGTCCGTCCACCCAGCCATTTCTTGGTGGGCAAGGAACCGGCACTGGAACCCACCCCAATCGCCGCCGCTTGCTACGAACACCTGCAGGGCCGGCAGGCGTTGTTGAAATGTCGGCTCCGTCCCCGATCCTATCGCAGCACTCGTACCGTGTCCATGGACAGTATGAGCAATGGCGGCCCCTACTGGAGGTCGCGCCGTCAGTGACGCGCTGGTTTCAGCTTGGTCGGTGCTGGCGTCCGTTGGTGGTGACGTGGCAACCCCTGATAGGCAGCCACTGCGACCCGCCCCCGCCGATGACGTGGCGCCCGCTGGTTGGGCCCCGCCACCCGCGTGACGACCTGGGGCCCCTCCCTCGGCCCCTACTGTCCCCGTGGCGGGAATTTCAAGCCTCCTGCCCATCGCAAAGGCGGGAGTTTCTGGCGGGCGTTGTGGATCTTCCCGCCGCGTCGCTCCTCCCGGCCCAAGGCGAGTTATCTGCTCCAGCATGGCGGCCGCTGCATATAGGAGCTCCGCCAGCCGCGAGTGGGCTAACGCCAACTCGTCAGCCGACGTCCCGAGCCTCTCCGACGATCCCGCAGGTGTTGGAGCCGGCAGCGGTTGTGCAGGTACGTCGGCGGCGACGTCTTGCACCGCCTCTCCCTCGTCGTCATCCTCTCCTGGGTCTTGGGCACGAGCCGTCCGTCTCGTATCCATGCTTGGACCACTTCTGATGCCAGATGTAGTAAGTTCGAGGAGACGAGGTCGGAGTTGAGGCACACTCAGTTTATTAACTCAGTGACAGGCACAATGGTTGAAGGGGTAACGGCCCCTTCACCCGTACTATGGGAAACCACCCTAGTACTAAGCCCTCTGTCCTGTTCCCCAGTCCTCCTCTAGTGGGCTACGGGAGGCTGACTGATCTGGCCCTGGCAAGCACAGATCTCGGCACCAGCTAAGCCGGCCTTGCCCTGACAAGGGCAGAGGTCCGGAAGCTCTTGGGCCGCGCCACTGGCTTACCCAGCTCGGCCCTGACAAGGGCAGCGAGACAGGGGAGTCCCAGGGCCTAATCTCCGAGTCTTCGATCTTCACTGGTCAGCTTCGTGTCGAACTCCCCCGAGCTCTCTGGCCCCCGCCTTTTATAGGGATCCCCTCAGAGGTGCGGGGGCATGGGGGATAACGGATGCGGACGTCGGTGTGACCACCCGTGTGTGTGAGTGCAGACACCCCTGTGTTTCTCGTCCGCCGATTCTCCCGTAATAACCCCTACATAACTATAGTCTGCACATGTTACGTTTCTTGAACCCTAAAATGTGATGTCACACCTGTGGTGGAAACTTCGAACTGGCTTGTTATATGTTTATTAAAACGTGTCTAAAGTATCTGATTGCTTCACTCACTCGCCTCCTCCCATACACGAGGTCGGGGGTTTGATTCCAGGCTCAGGACTTCTGTTTGTGTGGAGTTCGCATGTTTCTCCCTGTAGTTACCACATTTGGCTTTCTCCGGGACCTCCGGGACCTCCGGTTTCTCCTGCTGCTTTAAATTCCGACTGAGCCAGCAGGAGTGATAAGGGTCCATGTCAATACAATTTTTTCCCACAATCACCTACACTGACCTGCGGATTTTGAGTGCTATCAATGGTAGCCAGGATGCCACTGTTAAAGAGCTAAGTAGCTCAGTAGGCATTACATGGTTAAGCCTGCTTTTCCAATGGCGTCTCAATGAGGTTGACAACTCTGACATCAGAACCTATTCCCGGGACATTGCTTAATTATTAATATTTTTATTGAAATATCCTAACATTAAAATATTCTGTATTGCGTTTCAAAGTCACCGAAAGATCGATACCAATTCAAATCGGAAGTCTAACAGCCAATCGAGGTTCGGGTTGGCAACCTTAGTTTCACTCTTTCCTATCACAGCACGGCTTCCTCCACCACCGCTCTAACACCGCTCCACCACCGTTCTACCACCGCTTCTTCACAGCTCATCCACAGCTCCACCACTACTCCACCACCACTCGACGACCGCTCCACAGAGATCGTGGCACATCTGATAGTCCAGTCCCTTCCCACAGCTCGGAAGGGCCACGTGCTCCCTCTTCCTGGATGGGGTACCGCATCCACTCGGAGGCTTTGGGACGGCGATGATCAATACCCCAAACCTGCGCCTACGTCTTCCCCAGCCCCTCCCACACTGGCATGTGGTTGAACAATCAACAGGGTTAATTATGATTACTCGTATCATTTAGTTTTTTTTAATAGCCGTATATAAGAAAATGGGATTGTTGTATATGTAGTGGTGATACGCGCTGGTATTAAGGATCGGGGGGTAGCGCGTGGTGATTGGCTGTGTGTTGGTGACGCGCGCTGACGGTGAGGGATCGTTGGTCAGCGCGGGGTCATGGGTTATGTGATGGTGATTGGCTGTGTGTTGGTGACGCGCGCTGACAGTGATGGATCGTGTGGCAGCACGTGGGGATTGGTTATGTGCGCTGGCACAAGGAGAGATCGTGTGGCAGCGCGTGATGATTGGTCGGCTAGGGTGGGTGCTCGCATCGCGGTCCGCATAGGCTCCGTCTCCTTGGAGCGGAGGGCTATATAAGGCGGTGCGCGCGGGCGCTCGGGGAGAAGTTGGTGACCAGTGAAGACGGAAGACGGAGGAGGAAGAAATAGGGCCCTGAGTCACCTAGTCCCGCTGTCCTTGTAAGGACCGGGGCCCTGTGTGGCTCAGAGGCGGGACCTTGGGACCCGGGGGCCGGACGTCCGTGTGAGGGCCGGGCCGTGGGACCCAGTGGTCGTGATCCGTACCCAAGCTAGGGTGGGTCTAGAGGTTCCCCCGGATGCTACGGGGCTGGAATGCCCGTGTGTGTGTAGCCGGGTGGAACGTGTAGCGTGAGCAGTAGTTACCACCCGTGTCAGGTGGAACGTGTAGCGTGAGTGGTAGTGACAACACGTGTTACTGTGACAACCCAAGTGTGAATAAAGTGTGCTACCCGTCAAGTGGTTTCCCGCCGTAGTTTACTATACTTCATATATATTAAATCTTGAAAAATTATAAAAACACATTTTTTGTTAATGAAAATAAAAAATAAGTAATTTTCAGAATGTATTCTAATGTATGTAATTATGAAAATCATGCATTTATGCTAATTAGGTGCTGCTTTGTTGTCTAGGGTTGTATTATCAATTGGGATTCTCGCTTTAACTTTTACTTATTATGTTTTAGTGTTTATGTCAGGTCTCAAAATTCAGATCTTACCGCAGGAAACAGTTCTTATAATTAAGATTATTTTGCATGAACTTAGGAAGGCACCACTCAGACTCTTCTGTGTTAAGCAACTTTAATATATCAAAAAATCATCACACTCTAATATGCTAACGCTTATGCTAGGAATGTAAATACAGTACTCCTGGAGATGTCTTCATTGATCCGTACATTTAACCCTCAATGGTTACGTTTGTTAAACTGGGTAACAGAACAATTGGCTAATTCCTCAGAGTAAAGTGAGCATATAAGGCGATAGGAAAAAGTCCTTAAAAGTTAATGAGACAATATTCATAGGACAATAATGAAGAAACATGTTCCTAATGCAAAAGCAGACCTCAATGAAGTCATTTGTAAGATTTTGCAATTAACAAAATGTCCTGGAAGAATGGTGTGCGGCAAGTGTGTCTGCTTGTCAAGCAAATGCTTATCAATTGGCTAAGGCTTCAATAAATTCGCGGGCAAGATTTTGTGATTAAATAATTTTTGAACACAGAAGTATCCCTTTGAGTGTGTAGATTCGTAACGGAGATGTTTATAAATGTTTAGTTTCATCAATTAATTATTTTGGTACAATTAGGCAATTAACAAAAAGAATGCCTAAAATACTTCTAAACGACCGTATCTACGTAACTCAATGGGCAGCAATGCTTTTCACGATCAGCTAATAGTTAACACACCAGCTTAGGATGGCCACCCTTTTTGGAAGACAAAGAAAACTTTGAAGTCATCTTATTAGTCCCGATATGTGTGTTATGTGTGTGTGGGTGTTTGGTTACCTTGCTCAACTCTTTGAGTTAAGCAGACGCCGCTCTACTGAAAGAACCAAAGAGTAATAATAAAAAATATATGAGGCGATAAAGGATAAAATAAAATAAGTAATAATAAAAGCCACTCAGGTAAATTGCAGTCTGGTTCTTAATCTGAGAGTGTACTGGCAGTCTATAATGTCGATTTATTCTTGTCGCTACGATTCGAACTTTGACCGTTGTTAAAAACAAAACTCCAGTTGCAATAATGTCCGTTTGCCCTGTGGCTCTCGCCGTCCGTGGATAATCGACTGGGGTGGTGTGAAGTCTGTATCAGCGAGTTTCGATGTGAGACCAGGCTGTTTTTCCAGATGCCAGTGGGTCTGGAGGATTTGTTTGGGAAACTGTCCAGAACGTGCGTGGAGACCGTGTCTTATGGTCCTTTGCCCCGTGGAGATTCCCAGATTGTCACTAACCTCCCTTTGCCCCGGGGTTTTATTACATTTTCTGGCTTATCTCCAGCTGCCTTCTTGTGTGGCTTGTGAGAGGCAGTGGGGTGAGGTGTGAGTAAGATTTGTATCACTTTTTTTTGCTACACCCCGTTTGATTATTAAAAACAAATTGGCAGAATTATTCTTAATATACATTTTTGAAAAAAGGCCTATACTGTATATTTAAACTCAACACGAACCCGTCTGCTAGTCGACATAATTTTACGGATGGCAAAATCGCAACTACATTAACCATAATAACGTAACGTTTCCAGAGCAATTGAATGAGTGCATGAAGGAGGAACAAGGGTACACATTAGTGTGCGATATCCCAGCTACACATGATGCACACTACATTGGTACCATCAGCAGTTATCAGCGCAGCACTGTTCAACCCAGCTAGACAGTTAATTACTACAATTTTCAGATATATATTTTAAGTCAAACAACTGGCAATGTTTCCATGGGTGGAACGGAGCTGAACATCGTTTATGGTGGCTTTGCTCAATATCCGTTCACTAACTAGCAAGGCCGTACCACTCAATGTCTGTTCATTGGACAGCAAAGGCCTTACTTCACAATGTCGGGTCACTAGCTAGCAAAGTCTTACTACTCCATATCTGTTCATTGGACAGCAAGGTCTGATTACTCAATGTCCGCCCAAAAGTAAGCAAGGTCTTCCTACTCAATACCCATTCACAGGATGGCAAAGCCTTACTACTCAATGTCCATTCACTAGCTAGCAAGGCCTTACTATTAACATCTCACCATGGTGGTGATGCATTACTACTAGATCTTAAATAACTCACAAGGTATACAGAAAGTTATGGGTTCGATCTTTACCCTTACGCCCATATATTTAGTGTTTCCGTATCTCTCTTGCGATCGTCGTGTGGATTTTTCGACACTGTCCTCTGTTTTTTTTCTTCCACATTTAGAAACATGCTTTAGAGAATTTGGCTGCGATACATTTCCATGTAATTAACCACTTAATTGAACTATCATTTGTGGCCTGGCTGCTTCTGAATAAGAGTTAAATTGTTCAGTGGACCTTACCTCTTTATAGTTTATTCATAATGTTATGCCAATCACTCGACAGCAATGCCTTAACACGGAATATCCGTCCACTAATCAGCAAGGCCTTACTAATCAATTAATTGTTGCTCGACCACAGGTTGTGAGCTGCTCTGTCTGACTGAATCATCACATAATAGGAAGACTGCTTCCTGCTGAACCAAGTAGTCGGATCTTGTTATGCAAGAGTTGAAAAGGCGCGTTTTCTGGTTGAGGTGGCTACTTTTCTATAATCCATCGTCTTGATTTAAACTTAACCCCTTCACATGATTCGGCCCTTAAATCAAGGTGCATAGCGATTCATCAGTATTTTAATGTATACCCCCCCGCCCCCCGAAATAAAATTCCATATTTTACATTTTACAGAGCATTTCCAATTTATTTTAATTTTCATATCCTACTTACAATCGAATTCAATTCATATGTGATTTTCATATTCATGTTGGCTCTACGAACTGTATCGTTGTGAAGGAATGTAGCCCTTTTAGATTTTGTTGGTTTTTCCCAACATGTAAATCTTTATGAGACCCTTAATCTAATTATAAAGTCTAGCTTGCCTATATGCCATTCTTTTTAAACTTGATTCGCCATCTTCCTCGACCGGAATCAAACTCTCCATCAAATACAGGAACTTCAAATATTGATATTCAAACTAACTTTCTCAGTCAATTTCCTTATCCTCAAACTTTCACTTTCTTTCCGTGGAGGACAACACATTCTAACCATCTGAACTCTTCGGTATAATTTAAAACATGTCTCATCTCCGAAAAGCGGCGATCTCCCTGGTGTTACTGACGATCTGCACTCCATTAAAAACGTGGACGAAAGCTTAAGCGTAGATGGAGGGATATAGGTTTGGAGATTCATTTTGCGATCTTATAATATTCTTATTCTATCATTGTAATGAGAGGGGGAACTGCTCTTGAGACGTGACATTTTTACGGCTAATGTAGTTATGATTGGCCTTCTACTGTCACATTATCTCGATTAACAGATGGACTGGTGGTGAGTCAAAGCCAATTGCCTTATCTAGTTTTCTAATACAGGTCAAAACTGAAAAAAAACGATATTCGTGATCAATACTTATGGCTGTGAGGGCTTGAAACTTAGGGGTTAAATATCCCCTCCTTGACTAATATGAGGGGGGGGCGCGTTTTTCCAGTTCATCATATAGTGCTACCAAATCTGCACACTTTGCATAATTCTTGCCAATCGTGTCAATGTAGCACCAATTGTACGAATATTTATGCTTCCCGCAATATGAATTTGGTGCACAGCAGTAATCCCAGTTGTTTTTACTGTCTGTGTAACACCAGAAATATGACTGACCGTGGTAGCCACAGGGGAAATTATATCGGCATGGGATACCCCGTACAGTCACTATTGAAGAGGAAGGAGAGTAGCGAATACAAGTATCTCCTGATCGGCATATGCGCTTCCGCTTTTCGGGAAGTCCTCGTTGAGCTGGTGGAAAAGATTCATGGATCGCTGAAAGAGATGACGCATATGTTTCGATATTTTTTAATCTGATTATTTGTATAATGTCATCCCTGACTTTAACATTACCATCACATTTACCAGCAAAGAGCTCAAGGTTGTTGTCGGAATAATACCTCTTCAACTTGTTTTCAAGATCTTCAATTGTTAATAGTTGGATTTCAAATTCGGGTAAATTATCCCCAAAGTATCCAAAACTAAACTTTTTATCTTTGTCAAGGTGGTCACAGCAAACTGCAGTCCATACATATAATGCAACAGAGATTCTGTCAAAGGTTCTGGGTTCATCATCAAGCCAGTCATCTGGTGATATAGGGATTTTGAGCATGGAAGGAACAACACCAGTAATTAAATAAGCCTTCGATGGTGAGGGACACATGTTTTGTAAGATGTCTTTAGTATGTTTCTCGTAGTTGTACCATTTTATTCTGTTAAAGCATGCGTCCATTGGGACGGCATTTGTCAAGGTGAACGTGGCCGTCCTGCCTTCATTGCAATGATACAAGTTCGGGTTGAGATGTCCGCGGTCGAAGGCCGTGTTTTTGTAGTCACCATCCACCGCCTGCTTATCCTCGACACCTTCGTAGCTGTTTGGAAGTGCCATGTTCGCATCGTAAGATTTATTGATCAACTGAAATGAGAAATTCACAACAACACATGTCTATGTTAGTCGCTAAAATATTTATTTTTTGTTATTTATATTAATATATTTACCTTACCACTGCTGAATTAAGGCCATAATTTATTGCTCCAAACACGTGAAGGAGGCCGCAGTTTAGCTATCAAATATAGGAGTGTGCGACACAGTGTTTTGCCCCATTTACTCGGAGGCATCAGCCATCCCAGTTCCTTTTGGCGACCTCACACGCCAGTTACCTTCTCATGCCCAAGCCTCAGCAATAGCCATCCATCTGCAAGAGCCGTGTGGTACACGTGGTGGTCACCCCTGGGTGGGTGAGTAGGTGAGTGACTGAGTGGGTGAGTGCGAGAATGGGTGAGTAAAAAAGGTGTCAGTTTTGTTGCCAGATAGAAGGGTAAAAAAAAATTATCATATTTTTACTGGCAAATGAGGTTCCCATGGTGAATGGGTGAGTGGTTGGGTGAGTTAATAAGTAGGCAGGTGAGCGGGTGAGTATGTGGGTAAGCTAGTGAGTGAATGGGTGTGGGTGGAGAGGTGAATGTCTTTGTGTGAGATTCATCATTCATCTGCTGTAGCCATGCAGCACACGTATTGGTGTCCTCCTCGGACTCCTCCACCCGTGTTACACAGAGAACCTGGTAGGCATGGTCCACCACTGGGAACCGTGCCACGTGCCCAATAAAGCTCCCTCATCAGTCCAGGTCGTCAGTCCCATCTCAGATTCCATGAATTAATTTTGGTTTGGCAAGAACTCATCAAATATTTTAGCACAATTCTGTTTGATTAATTCAGACTTGATATTTTGCAATACGTATTATTTGGTTTTGGAAATCTAAACACCTGTATTATTGCTAAAACGGGCCTTTTAATTGTTTACTTCATCTTGATACTGCCAAAAAGGGTCCAATAAATAGAGCACAGACCACCAAAAACGTCAGAGAACACCGTGTCCTCCCACACGTTGCTGTTCTGCTCAAAGCTGCCAATGGACACGCTCACCAATCAAGCTGTTCTGTAAACTATTCACCATCACCTCGAGTCAGCCACTGCAAGCAACAGACCTAAAGAGGCCTTTCGCTGTTGCTGAAGTGGAAGTGGTCCGCAGGGTCACAAAATCCAACAAGGTAATGGGATATACGATGTATGTTTGCTGAACTTTTTTTAGCACTGTACGTAGCCAACCGTGCTAATCGGAGGTGTGGGATGGCCTGTGTCCTGAGTTTCTAAAAAAAGTTGGGACTACATGGAGAACAATGGCTTGAAAAGTATTCACCATCACGCACAGGACTGGCAATTTCCCAGAAGCATGGAAGCCAAATCCAACGTCATCGCCATCTTGACAAAATCCCTCTTGCCTTCCACCTCCAGGCTGATATAAAGTGTACTGCTTGACAGACTTTCCCCCATTATCAACTCTCAACTGCCTCCAAAACGAGTCAAGGGATGCCAAACCGGTCGTAATTGCTGCTAATTCCTTCACCACCCTCAGAGAAGCTAGTTTCAAGCGTCGACAGCAACCTGGCACAACAAGGATTGACCTCTCAGCTGCTGAAGCTGGCCAACACCATCAGATGCCATGCTACTGTGAACTTAATCGACGCGATGCTCAGCAACCATTCTTTCAGGGTGAACACCTTGCTGTTAGCAAAGCCACATGAGAATGATTAACAATGGTCTCTTTCAAGGCTCAGTACTAGCACCGTCACTATTTAACATCTATACATAAGTGACCTGCCAATCACATCATCTGGCAAGTGCATATATACGAATGACCTAGCCCCGACATTGATATCTAGCTCTTAACCATATTGCTCATGTATATTCGAACAAGAAGATCCTTAGCACTCAATCAAACATCTGTTATGTCCAAGGTGGGTAGTTTAATAATCCGTTTTATAATCATGGCCCTTATTCTCGTCTCAGCAAAAGTTGAGTTCGGTTTGTTAATATTCTTGCAAGGTGAAGGAGTTACCATAGCATTTGAAATCAGGCGCAGGAATAGTAAGATATGTTTAAAGTAGTGAAGATTTTGATGTAGAGTGTGGTGGGTTATATAAGCAAAGTATGGTAACTTTGAAAGGAAGAGATGAGAAGGTAAAATGCTTTGAAATGTGCTGTTATAGTACGGAGAAAGAAAGTTGATGTGTAAGAAGGAGAAATGAAGAGTGGTTGAGAGAATTTGGAAATAAGCTGAAATTATTTCAGGAATTGATAAGAAGAATGTAGGGTATGTGTTGGGAGGTTTGGTAGGGGAATTAATGAAGGTGATTTTGCAGGGGAATAATATGGAGGGGAAGAGGGCAAAGTAGGAAACAACGGCTTGGATGGTGGGAAAATGTGAGGGGATGGATGCGTGTTACAATGAAGATGTGGAGGATAGAAAAAGGTTGAAGACATCAACCCTCAGTTAGAAGGATGATTCTATTAAGAGGGAAGTGACACTCGTGTATCCAGTGTAACAGTAGGCTACTTATCACGTAAGATACTTCCTCGTGAGATTGTTATGATTGAGTATAATGTTTATTTACAACATAACATGTGTATGACCAAAGATTATGAGGAACCAGAACGAAACGCTGGTAGTGTTTGAATCATCGTTTGATGCCTGTTTGACGCGTTTTTACTTTCTCTTTATTCTCCCGTATTGGAACGAAACACGAGCACTCGGTTGTATTCTCATCTATGAACTATTTCTGAATGCAAATGCATGTTACCTGTGGCTCAATGAACCAAGCGCTAGGTCTTTTCGGAGCTGTGCCGCATTTTTGATCGTTGAAGACGTATGCAGAGTAGATCGGGCTCCGTTTTTCATGGTCGTAGAGGGTAGCAAATCGGTTGACGTCCTTGTAGATCTGGCAGATCTTATCGCATGAGTTGCAGTCTCGCATTTGTGGCTGAGTGCTCTTGTAAAAAAAGCTGCCACACCAGTTGTTGTCAAAATCGGCGACAACTTTTGCTCCGGCAAGTGACAGCAGCGGAGCCAAACGTGTGAGCAGATGCAGGAGTGCCGCCATTTATCTTCAAGCGTCGGTGTTCCTGTATAAATAGGTAACATACAAAAACATGATTCATATTTTAATCTGACCCCTTGACTACACACTGCTACATGAAATTTTCTCAATAGGCTTGTAGCTTACTCTTTTGTTCTTTTTCAAAAAGCACGTAGGTAGAAAAATACAATAAATATAATAAATCACGACGTTTCGATCGCAAACACAAGCGATCGTCCTCAATCGAAACAAAAATTCAGCAGTAGAACTGCTGAACAACATAGCGAGAGAGCTGCTACAACAAGGGGTTATATATGTTTGAGGGGTGGTGTAACCCAAGGGCAAGCAAGCGGGGTCTGAGCTAGAACGGAGTCCCATCCCTACACGCAAGCATATCAGTTGTGTTAATGGGGGAGATTATGGAGCGAGATTAGAATGTCAAAGTACATGAGCTTCCGTTGCCGCATAGGAGCACCGCTGCAGCACATGCGCACAGCAGTGTATTGTGCGCTTCCAGATGCACTTCTGCGACTAACTGGAACATTCTCCCTTCGGATATCAGGAAACAACTGGAGCTGTGTACTTTTAAATCTAGAATGAAAACTAATTTCTTTAGAACTGCTATATGTGTTTAGTTTGTTGTCCTACCCCCACACCTCCGATTAGCACGGTTGGCTACATACGGTGCGAAATAAGTTCAACATACATACGTACATGGGAGTTTCCTCATCATACTTCGCCATGCTGGTCCTACTAGTCCAAATTCAAAGTATAGCCACTAGACATACAATGCCTTAAACGGTGCTGAGAGGGGGCGCCATGATGGCGAAGTGTTAACTACCTCGCCTGGTAGGTTCGATTCCAACTCTGTAACGCCTCTATATTTTAGGCTTGCATGTTTCTCTCCACGTGGTAGCATCAAATTTATCCGGGTCCTCTGGTCCCCCCCACACATTTGTAATCAACATGCGTTTAGAGTATTTGTCTGTAATAAATTTCCATGTGATAAGCCACTTTGTTGAGCTATAATTTGCGTTAGCCAGGTCGCTTCTAAAAAAATATACATAGCTCAGTGCGCCTTACCTGGTAAAATAATTTTGTTTGTGTAAGTAGTTTAGTTTGAATGGCCTCATACCGCTTAACATTGAATAGATTAAACACCTGTACACATCGCTGATCTACATCTGCTCCACGTGCCGAGAAAATTCGACCCTGCGGTGATGGAGCCTTTTGCATGGGCTGCACCAAGACTATGGAATGCCCTGTCCACTCGTGGTTAGACAGGCGAATTAAATCCCCCTCTGTTTAGGTCGTCTCTACAAGCTCAGCTATTTTGCCTGGCCTACACTTCCCATGTATGTCCAGGGGACTCAGGACTACATTGTAGTATTGTGTTTATATTTTCTCACTTTGTGCATGGCGAACTGAGATCCCTGGATGATTTTTATCTTATAAATGTAAATTTTTATCATTAGATTTACTAATGTCAATATAATCTGTGATTTGGAAGAGGACACCGTTGCCAAGGAAAGGGTAACGATTTTTACATTAAAGCCAAATGTAGCGGCTCAACTTCGGAGCATGATGTCGGTTACACATGGGTACATCTAGATCTTAGCATTTGAATGTGAAGCAGACTGCACATGTTTAATCCACAATGCAAAAGCTTTGTTCACAATGCAACTTGCTGTAACAAACACGACTATTTGGCAATGTCATTGGACGAAATTAATATTATTTTTTAAATGATTATGAATATGCAATTAAGGCATAATTTTACAGTGAATGATGATTCATTCTAGATTTGAAGTTTTATGACAAACACCACATTATCCGCAAAGCTGTTTCTCCAACCATGGAGAAACAACTCCCTGAGACGCCGATCAAAACCATCACGTTACCATACATAGCAGGCGTTACCAAAAGATTTCCAAAATCTTAAACAAACACGAGATCCAGGTCCATATCAGTACAGTACACAAAATTCGTGATCTAATCCCATCTGTGAAGGATGTCATTCCTGACATGCAATATCCTGGAGTCTACAAACTAAGTTGCACCTTTGGTGATTGTTTCATTGGTGAAACGAAACGACATGTCTCGGACCGTGTTCGCGAGCACAAGGCAGATCTAAAACACGGCAGGACTAATACCTCCACCGTGGCTGACAATTGCTATAACGCTGTGGGTTCTCATGATATTGTTTTCTCTGAGACCAAGGTGCTTTGCAAGCTGTCTGGCTACCATCAAAGATGTATTCATGAAGCAATCCAGATATATAAACATAGATAACTTCAACCGAGAAGATGGATACAAATTGAGCAATCATTGGAAATATGTTATTAACCAAGTAAAATGTAACGGTTCATTGTTGTTCCATCTTATTACCGGGTTACTAGTCTATTTCACCGAGTTAATTACATCCTCAACGTTCAGCAGTGCAGCTATTTTGTTTTGAGCTCCAGCATCTGTCTTGACGGCAATCGTGTCGCCGTGTTGCTCTCCTCTCCGCACCTGACACCGCGCCAGGTTACTTACAGCCCCCCCCCTGCCCAGTCTCATGTTCCCAGTCATTATCGCACACGCAACGCTCCCCCTCTCCTCATTTCCCCCCCTCACCGCCCTCTCTGACTTATAACAGGACCCTGCGGGGTGGGCTGGTAGGAACGAATAACCAAAGAATAATAATGTATTATTACACTTGTTTAGCCAGGAAAGGCCCACTGAGTCTAAAGGTTTTTGTAGGGTCCTGGCAAGTGTTTGCAGTAGGGGGCGATGTTCCTACAGCGAATCGTACGATACGAAGGGAGAGGTTGAGGCCTAATTCTAGGCTTTAGACCTAGCTGTAGGCTTGAGGCCGCCGTGAGTTAATTTTAAACTTAAATGTTTGTATTATTTATGTAAAAGCTTTAAATTTTAATGTTTCTATTTAAAAGCATCAGGGAATGTAACATTGTTAAACATTAATTCCCTTGCACACACGCGGGGGTACGATACGAAGGGAGAGTGATAGGCGTAGTTCGAGGCTTCAGGCCTAGCTGTAGGCGTTATGCCGCTGTGAGTTAATTTGTAATTGAAATGGTTTACTTATTTATGTAAAAGCTTTAAATGTAAATGTTTCTATTTAAAAACATGAGGGAATGTAACATTGTAAAACATTAACTCCCTTTCACACACGCGGGGGTACGATACGAAGGGATAAGTTGAGGCCTAGTTTTAGGCTTTAGGCCTAGCTGTAGGCTTTAGGCCGCCGTGAGTTAATTTTAAAAGTAAATGTTTTTATTATTTATGTAAAAGCTTTAAATTTAAATGTTTCTATTTAAAAGCATCAGGGAATGTAACATTGTTAAACATTAACTCGCTTGCACACATGCGGGGGTACGATACGAAGGGAGAGTGATAGGCGTAGTTCGAGGCTTTAGGCCTAGCTGTAGGCTTTATGGCGCTGTGAGTAAAATTTTATTTTAATTTAATTAAAATTTTTATTTTTATTTAATTAAAAGCAATCTCAGGGAATGATAAGGGAATGTCAGTAGGGGGCGATGTTGCTACACCTAATCGTACATCGGACGGACGGACGGACGGACGATATAATCTGTTGTGGTCTGGTCCTCTTCGTTCCTACCAGTATAAACCCTCTTAACTCCGGCATCTCTTCCACTTCAGTAACAAATTAATTCTTGCTGTGGTTGTCACACCTGATGACATATGCCTGTGTTGCAATCGAAACGTCGTGATTTATTTCTATTTGTTTTATTTTTATTTTATTTTTTCACCTACGTGACTTTATCGAAAGAACCAAAGAGTAATGATGATTCGAATAAGTGCCAATTATTCACATAAATGGTATTACAGTGCACGTATGCACGAAGTTGTATATAGAGTGCAAGTGCAACTGTCCTCCTATGAAAGACATTACACTGTATCTGTATGTATGTGGCACTTCGGGGGTGCGGGATATAATTGTAGTCCCATAGTATTGATACACAAGGGTATATATGTATGTAAAGCTGTAAAAGTATAACTTGCTAATAATTAAATAATATCCCGTGATGTGAGCAATTCACAACTCTACTTTATTCTTATTTTATATATCCAGTGCATTACATAATGAATCGTTTCCTTCTGCTTTCAATTCTATTTACAGTACGGTTATTCTTTTATGAGGGAAAACGTTTCGCAGAACGCGTCCATTATGACAAGAAACGCGCACTCTTAGAACACGGAATGCGCACGTTATAACGTAGTACATGCCCATTCGAAAGCGGTTATTGAGTACTCGATGACGAACTAATTTATTGAGCTGCATGGTTGAATAGTACGATACAGTACGCGTGAGGAAACATTACAATAATTCATATTCTTAGGTTTTTTCGGTGAAGTCACGTAGGTAAAAAATAAAAATAAAAATTAATAAACGTAAAATAAAAAATCACGACGTTTCGGAGGCAACACTAGCTTCCGTCTTCAGGTGGAACCGTCACAGCCACGACAGCTGTATCAAGTAACTGAGAGATTACAAGAGATACCACTCCGTATATATAATGGTTGAGGGGGGAAGGGCCAGGAACGGCACACTTTTTATTAATATGGTAAGGTGAGGCTTAAGACTAAGAATAGACTGCATAACAAAAGACTGAGCCTTTGTTATGGAGAGGTGCGGTTTGTGACTAACGCCTAGCCTACATAACAAAAGTGTGAAAAAAAGAAAAACTAAACATGGTAAAACAAAACTGGCTGTCTATCAGTAACCTGTAATAGTTGTCTGTCAAATAAGATGGTCCAAATAAGTGTAGTTAAATCTTTTTTTGCATGGTTAATCACATCTTTCTAATGATTACTCAGTTTGTAACCATCATCACGGTTGAAATTATGTCTGTGTTTGTATATTTGTATGGCTTCGTGTACAAACCTTTGATGGAAGCCAGGAGCACCTTTGTCTCGAAAAAGACAATTTCATGAGAGCCCACAGTCTATTCTTAGCTGTCGTGGCTGTGACGGTTCCACCTGAAGACGGAAGCTTGTGTTGCCTCCGAAACGTCGTGATTTTTTTTATTTTATTTTACTTTTATTAATTTTAATTTTAATTTTTTACCTACGTGACTTTACCGACAAAACCTAAGAATATGAATCATTGCAGTCACGAAAGCTTAAAATCTAGAAACATTACAAGAAATGATACAGTTTTCCGCGACATAGCCTCATCTCAGCTATTTTTTCAGGATAGCTACAACGTGTGTTTACAGTGCAAACATGGTTCAGTCACCAGTAAGTCCTCGCTCCACACGGCTTTCACTTAACGCCAAACCTTTCAGGTACACATTTATCACGTTAAACGAGAGATTTATCTACTTTAAAATGACGAACAATTGGTACCTTATACTCTTTGGTTTTTTCGGTAATGTCACGTAGGTAAAACAATCAATACAATCAAATAAATGAAAACAACTGAATTAAATCACGAATTTTCGGAGGCAACACGAGCTTCCTTCACCTGATCACGACGTTTCGGAGGCAACACAAGCATCCTTCACCTGATGAAGGAAGCATTTCTGCACAGAACATACACCTTTAGACCATTACTAATATCCGCTAACTTAAGGTTACTGGGGGCATATTTCTTTCACTTGAGCAAAGGTAGGAGAGAGCGTGAGGTGAGAGGGCAGAAGTAAGAGAGTGCGTGGAGGGGAATGGGGTGAAACGAGAGGGGAGAGGTAGAAGAATGTGTTGAGGGGAGTACAGCGAGATGAGTGGGGAGCGGTAGGAAATGTGAGGAGGGGAGTAACGTGAGATGAGATAGGAGAGGTAGGGCAGTTTGTGTAGTTGAGTAGAATGAGATGAGAAGGTAGAGGTAGAAGATTGTGTGGATGGGAGTAGAGTGAGATGAGAGGGGAGAGGTAGAAAAATATGTGGAGGGGAGTAGAGTGAGATGAGGGGGGAGGTAGGGGAGTTTGTGGAGGGGCGTAGAATGAGATGAGCAGGTAGAGGTAGAAGATTGTGTGGATGGGAGTACAGTGAGATGAGTGGGGAGAGGTGGGAGGATGTGTGGAGGGGAGTGGAGTGAGATCAGGGGGGGAGGTAATAGAACGTGTAGAGGGGAGTAGAATGAGATGAGAGGTAGGGGAGTTTGTGGAGAAATGTAGAGTGAGATGAGAGGGGAGAGGTAGGAACATTTGTTGAGGGGAGTAGAATGCAATGAGAGGGAAGAGGTTGAAGAGTGTGCGTGGGGGAGGGAAGTGTAGTGAAATGAGAGTGGAGGGGTAGGAGAGTGCATGGAGAAGGGGAGTCGAGTAAGATGAGAGGGGGAGACTTGCAAAGGGATGAGTCCATGGATGAACTTTGGCGACATGTGAGGATCTCACCTATCAGCAGTCGTGTGGGATCCGGGGCTTGTCTTCTGAAAGTGGCCAACTCCCAGAACGGCATTAAATACACAGTGAGCTCCTCCTCCAAACCGCACCATGAGGACACCGTCCAATGAGTTTCTGTCTGTTTGCGGTTCCATATGGCTTCACGTCCCGTTTTTAAATAATTGTAAATTAAGTTATAGTGTACATATGTATATTGAACTTCTTTCGCAACGTGCATAGCCAACCATGTCAATCGAAGAAACACATACTGAACACAAAAAGCAGTTAAACATTTTGACTTAAAACTTTCGTGACTGCAAGCATTAATCTTCTTTGGTTCTTTCAGTAAAGTCACGAAGATAGAAAAATAAAAGTAAATAAAATAAAAACTACGAAATTTTGATCACAACACAAGCGACCATGATCAGGAGCAAAAAGGGGACAAGAGATAGGAGAATCTGTGGAGGGGAGCACATTGAGATAAGAGAGGAGAGGTAGGAAAATGTGTGGAGGGGAGTAGAATGAGATGAGAGGGGAGAGGTAGGAACGTTTTTCCTCCTCATGTCGATCGCGTGTGTTGTCATCAAAAGCGTTGTCGTTTATTTATTTAATTTAATTTAATTTTTTTCTATCTACTTCACTTTACCGAAAGATCCAAAGAATAGCAGTTAAACATATGTATTAAGATTATTTCTGCAATCTCAGGTGACGGCCTGAGACGATCACAGGTGGTTATGTGGTGACACAACTACGGAGCAACACTTGCAACCATGTAGTGTCCTGGCGGGGGGTTGCCTGGCACATCGGGTTTTTAATCCGAAGGGCCCCTAGACGGAAAGTCCCACGGTTTCCCGGTGCCAAGAATTTGGCTGACCCTCGCAGGACAGGTTACATTGTGATGCCCCTAAAATTGATTTAAAATTGCATGGGCGCAGAAAGAAAAGGTCCCCTGGGCCAACCGCAATGAGTTACTCCAACATTAGGGGGAGGACAGAGGGCAGAATATTAGGCAGGAAAAGCGCAAGCGCCCTTCCAGATAATGGGCAACAAGGGACAATTGGTGGTCGGCGACCGCCGCCGGGGACTAGGATTAGGCCACGGTAGAGATGGTCGAGAGGGACGACGGCACAGGTAAGCGCACAATTGGCTGAGCGATACGACATCACCCTGGGCCTTGGAAGTTTTGAGAATGAAAAGAGTAGCCCAGGACAATTTTAAGTCTCGTTTTCAACCTCTGGGCCGCCAAGACCCACTCCCTGCCGTCCTGCCTCCTCAAACCGCTCGCAGCAACCATGTGATGCCAGTGAGTGCTGCTACGAGGCAGCGATAGGTAAAGTTTTCTCTCGTCCTCCTCCCTCCGACTCTCACAGCATCCATGCGATGCTGTGAGTACAGCTTCGCTGTACACGGTAGGACGTTTGAGTGACTGGGTTCGTAGGAAGAGCTAGGCTAAGCTCTTCTCGCTAAATATTCCCCCCCAGGTAGTGTGTATTTGCGTCATTGATAAACTTTAGTACAGAGTATCGGTGCGGTGTGATTTCTGTGTGGGTCGTAATCTGAGTGTATGTGTGATGCGTGCATGTATTAAAACCATAAACGGCCGCCGACGCTCGTGCATCCGTGCAGCCGTGCTGCCTGAATATTGGGGCAGGGGCGGGTTGAGTTAAAATCGTTCGCTGACGCTTGAGCATGTTCGCGCGACAACAATAGCAGTAACGACGAGGCGTGCGCATGTATTAAAACATAAATGGCGGCTGACGCTCACGCATCCATAGAGCCGTGCCGCGTGAATATTAAGGGTGTGGGGCGGAGTTCTTTAAAACCGCTCGCAGACGGTCGTACGTGTTTATGCGCGTGTGTGTGTTAAATTGATCGCCGGCAGGGGCGCGCGCGTGCTCGCTGCCGCCGTAGCATTAGCGTTAGCATGTGTGCGTGTGTGAAATAACCCCGTGCAGCGGTGAGCCAGCGATTTATCGATGTCTCTCAGAGGGGGCGCTAACACGGGGGGGGGGGGGTGTGCTGATAAAACGGATGGCGGGGGCACGGTGGGGGCTCAGCAGGGGCTGATTGACGCGGTAGAGGAGAGAGTGTAGGAGGGAGTGGCGGGGGCAAACGTTGTGCCCCATCTGCCTGGCGAGGGCAGTTGGGTGGACGTCGGCCCTCACGGTTACTTGGATTCATCCTGGGATCTCAGCAATGTGAGCGCACTGCTCTGACATCTGAGCTGCTCGGCCACCTCTAATTCCAACTGATGACTGCACCTGCATTTTTGTCTGTCTACCAGCCTGCATATAGATCAGTTGCACGTGGCGATATCAGCACTGATCATGGGTATTTTCTTCACCAACCGGCAGTGACCCACACGGTGACATCTGCTCTGTTATCCCGATATCCCAAAAATAATAGAGGCCTTCATTCAGCCTTGGATTGAAAAAGGGCAGAATTACTTTCGTCAGCGCTGCCATCACCACATCCACTTTCTCCTGGGAGGTGCGAGCCTCAGATAAGATGCGTGTGCATACTTCTACAATGCAAAAACACACTTTTGCAATGTGTTGCACACTTCGCTTGCGACTTAGCGGTTGAAAATGTAGCCACAATAGTGCGCAAACAATGCATGTGAATTATTTGTTTATAGTGTGCTGCACGTCCCGTTTTTAATTAAGTTATCGTTGACATATGTATATTGAACTCCTTTCGCAGCGCGCACAGCCAACCGTGTCAATCCAGCAGCGGATTTTAATGAGGCAGAATCACTTTCCTCAGCACTGCCACCACCACATCCACTTTCTCCTGGGAGGTGTGAGCCTCAGATAAGACGCGTGTGTAAACTTCTACAAGGAAAAAAACACAGTTTGCAATGTGTTGCACACTTCCCTTCCGACATAGTGGTTGAAAATTTAGCCACAATATTGTGCAAACAATGCGTGTGAAATATTTGTTTATAGTGTGTTTTTCGCTCTCAAAAGATGCTGGCTGACACATTTAGCATTTTTTTAGATTAAAATTTGCTTTGCATTTAACTCTTAGTTTGTTGAGCCGATGCAGCACGGATGTATAATGCTCTGGGTTATGTTATGCTAAAGGTTATTTAATTATATAACTACTTAAGTAAAATATACTTTTATTATATCGGCTCTTTTTCAGACGCAACCTGGCCACAAATTATAGCTCGATGAAGGGGATGATCATTGGAAAATGTACAGGAGCCAAATAATCTAGAGGCATGTTTTTTTAAACGTGAAGGGAAACTGGAGGACCCAGAGACAAATCCACACAGCCACGCGGAGAACATACAACCTTCAAATATACAGCTAGTGTAAGGGTCTAGATCGAACCCACACCCTCCTGCATACCAGGTGAGGGAGTTAATATCTCGCAATCGCTGTGCCCCGTATATATTGGGGTTTTAATTACAACTATCTGCATCAGGCAACAGCCAGATGTGTGCAGAAATCCTCCCGTTTTATTCCTTAAATCGAGGGAGAGATGTGATGGCATCAGGTAAGGCCCACTGAGCTATATGCATGTAGCTCTTTTTCAGAAGCGACCTGGCCACATATGATAGCTCAACTAAGTGGCGTATCACGTGGAAATATATAGCAGCCAAATAATCGAAATGCATGTTTCTAAACGTGGTTGGATAACCGGAGAAATCTGAGACAAATCCACACAGCTACGGGGAAAACATGCAAACTCCCAATATACAGCATGCATCATGGTTGGGATCGAATCCACGCACCCGTGCATACCAGGCAAGTGAGATGACATCTCGCCACCATTGCATCCCATATATGGTGTTTTTTCGCCATTATTCAAATATACGCGAAAGGTGTTTTCCCAAAGAAGTTTTACCTGCGAATATTCTTACAGTATGTCTTTGGTAACCTTCCTATTTTGAATAACCATCATTTGTGAAACTATTCAAATTACCAGGTAAGGCCTACTGAGCTACTTAACTCAATAACGGAGGGGACCTGGCCACAAATGGCAGTATAGAGTTTGTGGGGGGAACGTGGTCGAAATTCAGTATGGAGGTTACATAAAAGACAAGGGACAACACTCATAGATACGTAGAAGCATTAATCGTCACTGCTTATTCTGTTAGCAGGTAGCTCTCCCTTCTCGTCAACGGGGGGCGGAAGCGCTATCACACCAGTGTTAATGACGATGGCCCAAGGGGCCAACGACAATCCCTGGGAAGTGGATCCTGGATGATGTCACCTTCCAGAAAGTTCTGGAAGGGAGGCGTGGCTCGGGTGGAGCAAGCCACGAACCAGTATATAAGCCGGACCTCTCAAGGGTCATCTCAAGGCGAAGACCGAAGACGGGACTAGCAGTAGGACCCTGGACCCCAGGCTCCGCCGTCCTTCTCAGGGCTGGAGCTGAGTGGCCAGTGGCGAGACCCTGGGGCTGCCCTCTCCTGATGTCCTTCTGAGGCCCGGTCTGAGCAGACCAGAAGTCAGGACCCATACACATTGGCACGGTTGGGTCGGGCTAGCCTCTCTTAGAGCCCCCTAGCCTGGAGGGATACAAAGACGTGTAGGGTGGTCCCAGTGTTAGGCGGCCATGTAGCCCAGAGGCCATTCACCTCCTTAGGTATCGGGTGGAAGGGGCCGTTACCCTTTCGTGTTAGGGACCTGTACCAGGATTGTTAATAAATATCGTGTAGCCTCACAAGAAGTTCTCCTCCAATTATTTACCCACTACACATATAATGAGAGGGAGGTCTGAACAAGGAAGGCGAGGTTGTATGTTTGTATGTTGAACTTATTTTGCAATGTACGTAACCAACCATGCTCATCGAAGGTGCGGGGGAATGACAACAAACTAAACACAAAAATCAGTTAAAGAAATGCTTTTCAATCTCGCAATGCAGTGACATTCTTTGTTTGATGGTTAGCCAAAAGCCGCTTTGATGATGACTGAAGATCGCGTGATGGTTTATATTCCTTGACGAAATCAGGTACTGTGATTCATTTGTGGCAAGAACTGTGTGTAATGAGTGCGACCTTAACAGGACCCTGCGGGGTGGGCTGGTAGGAACGAATAACCAAAGAATATAAACATAATGTATTATTACACTTGTTTAGCCAGGAAAGCCCCACTGAGTCAAAAGGTTTTTGTAGGGTCCTGCCAAGTGTTTGCAGTAGGGGGCGATGTTGCTACACCTAATCGGACCATACGAAGGGAGAGATTGAGGCCTAGTTCTAGGCTTTAGGCCTAGCTGTAGGCTTTAGGGCGCTGTGAGTTAATTTTTAATTTAAATGTTTTAATTATTTATGTAAAAGCTTTAAATTTAAATGTTTCTATTTAAAAACATGAGGGAATGTAACATTGTTAAACATTAACTCCCTTTCACACACGCGGGGGTACGATACGAAGGGAGAGTTTCAGGCCTAGTTCTAGGCTTTAGGCCTAGCTGTAGGCTTTAGGGCACTGTGAGTTTTTTTATTTAATTTCAAAGTTTTAATTAAAAGCTATCTCAGGGAACTATAAGGGAATGTTACACGTGTTTAGCCAGGAAAGCCTCATTAATTTAAATGTTTTAATTAAAAGCTATCTGAGGGAATTATAAGGGAATGTTACACTTGTTTAGCCAGGAAAGCGTCACTGAGTCTAAAGGTTTTTGTAGGGTCATGCCAAGTGTTTGCAGTAGGGGGCGATGTTGCTACACGGACGGACGGTCGGACGGACGAAATAATCTATTGGTGGCTGGTCCACTTTGTTCCTACCAGTATAATCTTTTCATCCAGCAACCAAAAGGCAATGCAGCTCAGTCAGTACTGGATAGACATCATCGGATCTTGCAGTAACCGTCACGACATACGTCAAAAATGGCATACATGCGTAACATGCTGCAACTTGGTAATGTTTTTGGCAGACGTCCCATAAAGTAGTGAGTTGCAATACTAGAGCCTTGCTGATACCATGCTACATGCCACCGTGTTGGCTATGTCACTTCTCAGTAGTGGTCGAATGTGTCGTAGAAGCCTGATCTGCATATTTTAGAACCTGACGATATTTTGCACGTGATTATCAAACGACATATTCTGGTCGAGTATGGTACCAAAGCTCTTTAGATGAGTAGAAAGCCGAATCCTGAAGTCTACGACTGCCACACCAAATCC